CAAGATCCCGAGAGGAGAATGGAGGAGAAGGGATTGCGGCGTGGCCATCCCCCCTGGGAGTGATTTCTCACTTTCTATCTCTATGTCTCTGTCTGTCTGGCGAGCGCACGCGCCCTACAGTGAAAATCTCTTTCAAAAAAAAAAAAACACATATTATGAAATAAATCACTCTGCATGACTTTCACAGTTTTATTTACACCTAATTAAACTTGTGCTTTAATTTAGTTTTTCCACAAATGTTTTGAAATCTCTTCATGTGAAAGAAAACTCAACAAAATACATAGCATTTATCTAGGCAAAGATATTATTTCTTTAGAATAATATATAAATTAAATGGAATTTTTCCCCCCTAATACCAGAGGATGCTTCAGGGATAGGAGGAGCAATGCCCTATGGCCCGAGGTCATAGTGCAATCCTTCTGCCTCCTTTTTTCCATCCAATCTCTCGCTGTTTTTCAAGCTCTCAGGCCTGCGTTAGAACCTCAGTTGGCCATGTGGTTAATAAGCACCAGCCTTCCTGGTGCTTAACTGCTGTGTTATGGGGTTGGCCCTCAATAGAATCTTAAATGATTTTTTTTTTTTTTTTGAGAGTTTTTTGCTATAGGGCGCGTGAGCTTGCCAGAAAGACATAGAGAGACAGAAAGTGAGAAATCACCTCCCCGGGGGGATGGCCACACCGCAATCCCTTTTCCTCCATTCCCCTCTTGGGATCCTGGGCACACACACACACACACACACATGCCCGGCATGAGTTTAAGCCACCGGTTCCGGGACTTGAACTGCGGTCGACTACATGGGAGTCCAATGACATAGCCATAACGCCTACTGCTGGTCTCATTTAAAAAAAATATTTTTGGACTGATTTAAAAAAAAAAAAAACCCACAAAAGCTGCACTATTCAGTCCCGGTAGAAGAACATATACTTGAAAATAGCCAGGAAGGGCCAGCCAGTGGCTCTGTGAATGGAGCTGCTTGATCCCTCGTGGCCTATTGAGCAGTTACAGTCCCAGATCTAGAGACTTGAAAAAAACACACTGGACTTTGGGACCAGCAGTTAGTGTAATGGCTATGTCGCTGGACTCCCATGTAGACAACTGCGGTTCGAGTCCTGGACCCGATGACTTAAACTCACGCCGGGCGTGTGTGCGTGCCCAAGATCCCAAGAGGAGATGGGAGGAGAAGGGATTGCTGCCTGGCTGTCCCCTCTGGGGGATGATTTCTCGCTTTCTGTCTCTCTGCACGCGCCCTATAGCAAAACAAACAAACAAAAAACACTGGACTTTGTGTGTGTGTGCCTCCGAACCAGAGAGGACAATGGAGAAGAAGAGATTGTGACATGGCCATACCCCCTGGGGGATCTTTCTTACTTTCTCTCTTTGTCACCTTCCCTGATAATGATTTGATTGATTATGTTTATTGTACGCACAGAATTAAAAAAAAATTGCTGGAGGGATTACACAACCTGTTCATGTATTTTATAAAGAGAAAATACAGGCATGCTCATATTTTTCACCTACTTCTCTGATACTGCACTGCGGCTTATCTTCATAGTACTCATCCTTGACAAAGAGAAAGATATAAGAGGTCTTTCAAGTGTTCATAGAAATTGTAGATATGAAAAAATTATGCCTGGATTTCAAAAGTTTTTGTACTAGTACAAACTCATCCTTTAAATTCATTTTTTTGAGGCCAGTAGGTGGCATGGTGGTTAAGGGCACTGGACTCCCACATGGCCAACCACAGTTCGAGTCCGGGACATGGCAGCATGCTTTATCACTTTTTGTCTCTCATTCTCTCTCACACTCTGTTCCTCTCTGGTCAAAATTTTTTAAAAACGTAAATAAATAAATAAAATTAAGTTAAATAAAATAATTTTAAAAATCTAAAAAATTAAGTGAGAGCCAGGTTTAAAAAATTCGTTTTCCACAGACTTTCTGAAGTCCTCTCATAGATCTGCTATCCTTTGAAATCCCCTACATATGATTTAAAAAATCATGAACCTAGTAGAACAAAAATCAAAAGTGTACAACACAATATAATGTTTTTTATTGAAGATGATGAATATAATAAATCGTTTAATTATCACACACTGCATGCATGCTTTGGGAAACTATATTGTACCCCTCAACAATGCATACCAATTAAGTGCAAATAAGAAATTTTAAAATAAACTTATAAAAGAAAAGGACAACATATAAAAAATTTTTGGAGCGATTTTTGCTATAGGGTGCATGTGCTCATCAGAAAGACAGAGACAGAGGGACAGAAACCCAGAAATCACCCCTCCGGGGGAGGGTGGCCATGCCTCAATCTTTTCTCCTCCATTCTCCCCTTGGGATCTTGGGCACGCATGCACACATGCCTGGAGTGAGTTTAAGCTACCAGGTCCAAGACTTGAGCTGCAGTCGACTATGTAGGAGTCCAGTGCCATAGCCATTACACCAACTGCTGGTCCCAACAGCATCTAAAGTTGGACTATTGAAAAGTTGAAAACTGTTGCATGGCAAATGATAAATTTTGAAAAAAAAAATTTCATGTGATAAAAATTTAGTACTCTTTATGTAAAGGATACAAAAAGAGAAGAAAATCTATCAAACAAAAAACATAGACAAATGAGAGGCAGTTCACAGACTTCGAGATGCAAATGACTTTCACATATAATAAAAGTAGTTCAGCCTCCTCATTGTAAGACATCCAGAAGATAAATCTATTAATCAGATGGGCAATGAAAAAATTTTGATAAAACACTATTGGGGGACCGGCAGTTAGCATAATGGCTATGTCACTGGACGCCTATGTAGTCGACTGCAATTCAAGTACTGGACCCGGTGGCTTAAACTCACGCCAGGCGCATGTGTGTACGTGCTCAAGATCCCGAGAGGAGAATGGAGGAGAAGGGATTACAGCATGGCCATCCTCCCTGGGAGGTGATTTCTCGCTTTCTGTCTCTCTGTCTCTCTCTGTCTGTCTGGCGAGTGCACACACCCTATAGCAAAAACC